CACCTAAAGAGAAACCCGAAGCAGCATTTTCAAAGCCAGTAGAAGGCAGAAGTTATGGGAATATACCTTGGCATAGGGTTAGAAAAAAAACCGTGAAATTAGAGAAAGCGGACAACGCGATCCACTCCATTCGCAAGACTCCTACTTTAGCAGTGTTACTTGAGGTCGAAAACAGCGGAAAGGATGTAAAGTTTTGGTAGTCCATAAAAGAATCGACGAAAGAAATAGCAGTGGTTAAAGACTTAAGACCACAAGCTATGATTGACATGCAAGACTTGGAGTATCTAAACTTAAAAAAGGATGTTCTATCCTTTAGCAACCCAAAATCCGACAGCAGAGATGAAGGTACACCTCACCAAATTGAACTGCAGAGAACAATACCACGCTTCAGTTAAAATGGCAATGATTGACTTAAATAGCATATCAGAAAAGCCGCGCATAATAGAAGCTTAGACAATATGCCAGCAAAGTTACGAGTCGACGTGTAACAGCATTTCAAGTGTTTTGGTGTCAGCCATGTACAAGCGAAAAGGTACAGATAGAGACAAGGAATATACAACAAAAACATAAACGACTACTATACTTAACAAATGGAAGGAAATATGATCATCTGACTCAAACGGAAATCGGGAGAAACAAATTACTCACTTAAATGCTGAACAGACTTGAATATTTGAAAGTACCTGTAGTGCATGGGAAAAGCGGATATACGTGATAGTATTTATGGCAACGGAGACTTTGACGATGCAGAACACAACTTCGCTTACTGTAATAGTTGGCTAGCATTTAGAGAAGAGATAATAACCCAGATTGGACCAATAAACTCCGAAAATATGGTGGGTAAAATGAGTGCGAACCCGGAGAACTGACGAACAATGAAGTCATATGTGATTCAAATCTTCAAAGCGAAGAAATTAGACCTAAAAATGAGAATCAAAACTAAGGCTTATAAATGGTGTACACACCAAAAAAATGCGATGAAAAAGTGAAGATCTGAACACAGATTTACAATCACAAGAGCTTGGCTTTATAAACCAACATCAAAGAGATCCTCCTCGAAGTAATGTGAAAGCCGTCCAGAATGGGAATAAGTCTCGCTGAAGAGTGGGCGTTTTAGTCCGTATACTACGGACTACTAGTCCGTATATTCAGGTTAGGGAGTTGGATACACCATGCCGAAGATGGTCGGTCTGACGGTGCATAAAGCATTCCACCTCCTCACGATAAAACAGGGTGGTTTTTCTTGCATTACATTCGCAATCTGGAAAGTGAGTACGCAAAGAGTCGTCTCCGGACGCTTTACTTGATGACCGAGTATGTCTTTGACCGGCATTTGAAATTTGACCGAGATTTAGCTGAGTATCAAAAGAGTTAACAAAGTGTAATTACTCTGTGATACTCTGTGGCGCCAATTATTGGCTTTGTTCAGACAAGTAAATGTGTGAAAGACACAAACACCACCTTATGTGCCTAGTTACAAATACGGAAAACCGATCAAGAAAAGCGTCAAGATTAAACCATCAATAACTGGAGGTTCACCGGAGAATATTATGCACCAATATAGATGCAGATACTCCTAGATGGAAGTTGTTGGGCATCTCGAAAACTATTCTCCAAGTATCAGCGAAGTAGTATTGGCCTAGCATCTTTCGGGAGACTCGAAATTATGTACAAAACATAGTTTAAGTCAACGTTATAAATCAACCAACAAAAACTACCAGGAAAAATACTGACGGAACTATCAAATAACCAGAGACAATTCCCTTTGCTAATTTTATTACACCCCTATCTCGATCAAACACAGGAAACACGGAATCATTAGTTCTTTCTGATAAATTCAGTAAATGGACAGGAAATATCCCACTGAGATCCGTTATACCAAATGAAGTGAAATAGCACTGTGAGAGAATATAATAGTCAGATGGAAACCCTTAGATTCCTACTCACTGAGAATGGATTGCAGTTCTCAGAAATCTCGCAGTTCGTCACCAGCTTACTTTGCCATACACTCTTTAAGAGAACTCACCAGTTCAACGTTGAAAACAATAACCGCCCTCTCAACTCTGGTGGTCCAGGTCTACTGACTACAGTCTACAAATCAGTCACCTGCATATCTAGACCCCAAAACAAAATGCAAGAAATACAGCATATCGTATCGTATAAGGCATGGAAAGCTATGGAGATTGGAAATACTGTTCTAAACAGAATATATCCACTATCTAACGCCCTCACACTTATTTTGCAGCCAAACCAGCACTAAAGTAATGTGAGCCTTATCAGGTGCTAAAGTTCATATGTGGTGTACCTTGTGATCAAAAAAGAACTTATTCCTTTTTTTTTTGAATTCCCACGCTTGGCCAATCGGTAAACTTTTTTTATTTTCACGCTGGCAACACTATTATACACATTCTGTCAAAGTTTAACGCTTATCGTACGATTAGTTTTTGTTTGGCATCTATGCAAAGAAGTAGAAAAATTTTCGTGTGCGATTTTTAGCTGAATTTCATTCAATAAAACCGTCGTTGTGATGTGGCCAAAGAGATGATTTTCAACGCAGATAACTGGTGATGAGACATGGGTCTATGAATTTGACATGCACACCAAACAACAATCGACCGAATGGTGCTTCGAAGTTGAGCCGAAACCGAAAAGAGAACGCCAAAGTCGGAACAAAATCAAGGTTATGTTGACTGTTTTCTTCGATATTCGTAGTGTGATGCACTATGAATTCCTTTCGGACGATCAAATGGTCAAACTGTCAATAAGGAGTATTATTTGGCCGTTATGTGTCGTTTGCGTGAGACCATTCGCAAAAAGAAGGAAAACTCATCGATTTTACACCACGATAACGCGCCTGCTCACACAGCGTTGGTTGTGTCGCAGTTTTTGGCCAAAAACTCAACCAATTTCATCAACCAAGCACCGTACTCTTAAGATATGGCCCCGTGTGACTTTTTCCTCTTCCCCCGACTCAAATTGCCATTGTGAGGGACGCGTTTTGAGACCATAGAGGCCATAAAAGAGAATTCTCTGCGTGAACTAAAGGCCATACCTTCGGCGGCCTATAAAACTTGTATGGAAAATTTTTTTGATCCTTTTTGATCATAAGGCATAACAGAGAGCTACAATGCGTACTCAACACTCGAATAATTAATTGTATTTCACTAACACGCATTCTGACTCTCTCTTTCGACTTCACCTGATTTATACATACAGCTGATAGCATTTATTATGCTTTTTACTCTTCTCATGTGATACTCATAAACACATTCGACGCAGAAATGATGCGAATGATTTATGAATCATTTATGAATATTATGTCACAGTCGACATGTTATTTGTTTACTATGCATATAATTTCCAAACAACCCTTTATATAATACACATGAAATATGCAAAAACACTAACAAAAACCATGCGTTTATACTGCTAACAACAACAACAACGCGCTTTAAAAACGTTTTACCAAAACATATAAAGAATAAAAACACACAAATTTTTTGCTTAGCAAACACACACACAACAGCAGAAAATTTCTACAAATGCCAAAACTGATCGAATCCGCAGTCATTCGTTTTTGATGAGTGCACTCATTGATTCATACTACTGGAGTATATGCGATGACTCATGAGTCATCTGGTTTGTAGGCCGATGGCTCAGAAAAGCGTACGCACTGTTATGACACTGATTCATTAGAACCGGCACTCGTTAACAAAAAAAGTTATGAAACATTTCTGTAGCTAATGTGATACGTATAAGTAACGTATGAGCAAAAGCTTATATGCATTTGTACTTGATTTTTATTAGTGTACTCTAAGTGTTTAAATTATGACTCTCTGCAGTTCTCTGGTGCATAAGTGAAATTATGTTTCGCTTAATGCAACACACATTATTTTGCATTACTGTAATAATTTTGATATAATGAATATAGTAATAACTTAGAACCGTTCATTGGCACTTAAGTTTGCGGAATGAATGAATCTTATTGCGTATTATAAGTACCCACTAAATATATAACATAACATTGTTATAATCGTATGTATGGTAAAAATTCGACTCCGTTGCAAAATCGGATATGGTAGAAATAAATCAAACTCCGTCAAATGATATTTTCATCTGTAGCACTATCAAAATTTGTTTAGCTAATAAATTATAAAATAATTATTAAAACACAATTATTATTTTATTATAGCAGTTATTCGTATATTTGTTTATATTTAACTATTTATGTAAAAATACTTTCCGGTGCCACATATTTGTGTTTATATTTAAGTAAACTAGAGTAATAAATAATATCTTACTAAACTATAAACTGGGTTTTCTTTTATTTAAGTATATTACATTATAATTTTTTCTTTACATTTCGTAGAGATTAATACTGTTAATATAGTGCACATGAAGCCCAAGTGGCAGTGACGTTATACAGGTAACAGCCTATTAAAATATTTATTCTGTTGGGCTAACAGAGAAGAACATGTTATAAATGAAGATAATCGGTTTAAAAAATTCCGAATATAATATGACGTCCTTTGCGGACAGCCTCTTATAAACTATTAAGTACTTTTGTATAAAAATAACAGCATAATTATACAATTGGTAATAAATACAGCTGATGTACAATACAACAATAATATTGGCTTTTACAACGTAGTAAAACCAGAAACTATACGTAAACAATGTCATAAAAATTTAATATTATATTTAAAACAATTTATTGACTAAGAAATAACAAAAATAATTTAATATTATATTAAGTAGTTAAGAAAGTATTAATGTATGTACCTTCATATACTTAAACTAACTATCCTTATTAACGGTCCACTTATATAAATACACGTTGAAACAGGTGAAGTGGAAAAGCATTAAACTACTTTCTAATGGCACTTATTATAGTTTTATCAATTTTGTTAACTCATTTTTATATATTCTATATGTATATGTATTCATTTAAATAATAATTCGTTTTGAAACAAACATGAATTTTTATATATGAGTGAATAAATATGACGTTTTTCGAAATATAGACGACAAATGCAGTTGCAGTTCTTTACTTCATACCGCATGATTTAACGAATTATTGCCAGTTCAACGATCCAACAGTAGACAACAATTGTAAACAGTCAAGCTGATGATGGCATGATTCGTAAATATATTTACTATGTGTTATGGTTAAGTTATGCAGCAATATTGACAGTTAACATTATGATGTGTCATTGCAACTGACAGCTGAGTAACAATGATGCGAGACACCACCTAAGAAGTTCTCATATTAAATAAAGCACTGCAACAAATTCTGCAGAAATGGTAACTAACTCAGCTTCAATTAAGATTATGTCTGCAATTACTATGAAAAAGCAAAGAATGTCATAATGCGCTTAATTACATCAACATTTTGCTTAATCAGATGTCTTAAACTTATTATTGTAGGTTTGTTAAACTGTAAACACGTCTTTAAGTCGAACACAGCTGTTTATTCCATGTGGGTGAATTTTGTATATTTGTTTTTAAATAAAACGTCTTCTTACTGATGCGTTTTTTCGTACCAAGTTATGCAGTTATTTTTATGCCCATATTATACATATATATAACGATCATTTCAAACGTTTACAAGCACGTGTGTATCGTTTTCTTTGTTCGACATAATTTACACTTGACTTCACAACACCAATGAAACGTACAAGCACACCTTTCGACGACAATCACTTCTTGTGTCCGATAGCCTCGACCACAGCACATTAAATCGCAACCGTCAACACCGATTGATGTGTCATTACACAGTCGACCATGTGTACCCTGAATACCGAGTCTTAAATTTTTTTCACAAAAGCTTGGCGAATTCTCTAAGTACACTATATCTTTTGGTCCTGGTGGCTTGTGATCAGGATTATGTGGTTTTAATTGAAAATGATATCTGAAAATGTCAAAAACAATATGGAAAAGAATGTTAGCCAGCTTTGTTTTGGGTGCATACTCATATACATATAATGTTTTGTTATAAGTTTTTAAAATTTATGAGACTTTTTATATATATGCGCACAATATCACAACATTTGTTTACAACTTTCAAAGAAATTATAAACCTACCTATTGTGTTTTCTTCCCTGTCGTCCCCGTTCACGTACTGAATTTCGTGACACAATATTTTGATTCTGAATATTATTTACAGATGGCAAGTTTGGGTGATGTTTCACATGCTCAGGGGCGGTAATATGATCATTAGCCATACGTTCAGCATCGAAAACATTTGGATTGGGAGTATTTGATGTAAGCAGTACACTTTGCTTAACAGCTGCATTTCCACGGATACCATTTCCGGCGACTGAGTTACCATTTTGACGTAAATTGTGACTGACCATAACGCGTGATGCTCCATCAAAACGATCCTTTAGGTTATCACCAATTACTCGGAAATTTGCTAGACGCATCCAACATGTTCGTACTGTGCATGAGCCCGACATGCCATGGCATTTACATTCCTGTCTCATGTTGGCCTGGACATGCTAAAAGTATAAAAGTATATAAATTGTTTAAGTGAACGGAATTCAATTTTATATAAAAATATTATTAAATAAAAATAAAAAAAGTGTGTGCTGGCTATTTTCCAACCAATTGGGAAATGACTTTTTGATATGAGTTAATTCTTTGGACCAAGAAAAGAAACGTATTGTGTAGGTGTGGATGCTTTTTTAATTTAACCAAAATACAAGTAGAAAAATAATAATAATTTAATTTAATTAACCTTTTCTAAACTCAAAAAATTAAAATTTCAAGGATATCAATTCGTGTTGCATATATGAAATAAGAGTTTTTAATATATTGTGCACCATTCACTTACGAGTTTCCTTACAATTGGAATCATTACAAAATTTAGTACAACAAGACTTTAGACATCAAATATAGGATATTTCATAGACTAATTACTATTCCCTAATAACTTTCCCAAATTATTATTTGGACTGATTATTTGGCGACAGAAGTTTTTTGTTTTTTGTAGACACATTTTTGACACTCATTTAACGTTTCTAAATATTGACCATATGGTGACTAAAGTTATTATTTTAGGTACATTTCTTAGACACTCGATGTCATTATTATAGGGAAAAAGTCTTCATTCCATTTGAATTAAGTCTTAATACAAACATTTCTTTGGTAATACTACACTGGTTAATAAATGTGTAATATATGCCAAGAGACTTATTAATTAAATGGCAGATAATACGTCGAATCAGTTCGTTACTTCTTAGCGTGGAATGGACTATATATGGAACCATAAAATTATATATTGTATTATATTATATGTAATAAAATTTGAAGTAGATATACATTACGCAGATATTTAGTAATGCAGTATTGTGTATTGATGGCTAAATGAATAACTTAACTGACTAAATAGTCATATAGATATACTGAACGTAAAGTATGCAATTTTTATGGTATCAAAGTCTCTTTCATTAATTTAGATAAGTCGTCAGAAGGCAAACATTTTGTTTACTTGAAGTAGTGTTAAGTTTATAGTAAAGACGAAGTGTTATATATAAAAAATTGAATTAGAAGTGAATTTAAGTGCGGTGTACCACAAGTGTATATCCTGTGTGTATTAAAAACTAGAAAACAAATATAAAATATAATGTACTTACTATATAATACTTACAGCTCTGCCAGCTTCGTTATTATGTAAATTCATTTTCTCTCTTAAGCTGCGTGCTCGCTCGCCTGTATCAACAAATTCACGTGAAAATTTGAATCCAAAGCCAATATTATCGGAACATCCCCCCCATTCCCAATCTCTAACACCAGCAGCGTTTCCAACCTTGTGACTTACTTGCGGCGATCTCGATTGATGACTATAATCACAGGTGCACGATTCAATTGAACCTTCACTGCAGGCGCGAGCTATCATATGTGTGACAGCTGCACTAGTTATGGAATAAATGAAGCCGGTCTCACGGCAGCCTAAAAATAATCAAAAAAGCAAATATTAATTAAAATTAGGAATTTAAAACTGATATGTACTTTTAAAGCAAAGAAATTTAAATAAAGAAACAATGAATTGCTTACAATGTTAATGAGTCACAAATTTGTTACTCGCATATATTTTAGGGTAAGACAAATACTTTGTCGTGTTATTGCCTGGTTTAAACCTGCCGGTGAATAAATACCTGTAATACACACTAAATCGAAATTTTTTAAATAATAGCTCCATTGCCCACTGGAACCACTGTCCAAATCAATGTCTTGATTAAAGGAAAAATTCAATTCTAATGCTAATACTATTGAAAGGGCTATGAGGCTGATGAACTTAGCCGAGATAAGAAACATGTTAGTTTCTTGATGGTAGCTTCTCAAATAAGGCTTTAATAAGGGAATTCAGCATAAACCCTCTTTAAGCTCAGGGAAATCGGAGCACTAAAACATAATTATTTATTAAGCTTAGCTTCTAGCCATCTGACCAGGCTACTTATTTCACTTTTCTAAATTTTTGTATCATTTTGAAATAGATTCTCGGCTTTTTTTATCAAACTTATCAAGTGTTATTACATTTACATATATGTTGTTTGTTATTATGGTAGTTGAACTATATACTTAAATGTTAACCCTTACTCCTAAATTCATTTATGGTTTTCTAATTAAGTTGAAGCAATTAAAGAACTTAAATGCAACAAATATCAAGAGCACGTTTTGAATGACTAACTTAATTACTATAAAAAATTACAATGGAATTTTTTTTGAATAGCAACTCAATAAAAAATTAAAACATTTCAGTAGCTTTAGTAACTGAGTTTAATAATGCTTTTAAGCCGTTTGGTAGACACTCTTTAATGACATATATTATTTATTTTCAGAATTATAATTTCTAAAATATTTATTTAAAATTCAATAGTCTTTTTTTCGACTATTTTGGATACTCAAGATCTATTGAAAATATTGATTGAGGAAAGATAACACTGAAATAAACTTTGGTTTTGTATAATCCCAAAATCTATTTATTAATATCTTTCATCTTAGTATTAAGTCTAACATCTAACATAAACTAAAAAATATTCTGTATAGGCTAGACATGAACAGACATCAAGAATATAATATATATATTAATATTGCCTATAAAAAGTATCGGAAATGCAATGGAACAAATATATTTCATGATTCTAATTTGAAATCATTGCTTTATTGGCATGTGTGAAATAGAACTGTCATTCAAAGCATCATCTAATATTTAATTAAAGGGTTGGATTTGAAAATATAATATTACTGAGCAACTATTGAACGTATAAAAAACTTTTTATAGTTTGCTAAAGATACTTCACATCTTACTTTCTTCATTGATAGGTCTTACTTTTTTGCTTGGTGTATATATCAACGAAGATATATACATGAAAATTCTAAAGTAACTATAGAAATGCTATATTCGTAGTATGTACAAAAAATCAGTATATTATGGTATTTGGTCTGAAAGTGTAAAGCAATCTGTTAATTCCCGGTCATAACAGGCACATAATCTCCAATTTTTTTTTTTGGCGGGAAATTTAAGATATAAATGGTGACACAAGTCACATAACACGTCCTGTTTTGGATTTATTGTGTGAGAAATTTCTTTTGAATTCTCTGAGATGTTGAATATTATTAAGTTTTTCTTGTTTCGTTTTAATTTCGAGGTGCTATTCTAAAAGTAAAAAATTGCATTTTAATTACTTTTTTTTGATTTTGGATTTTGGACTGAAAGTCACTTTTTTGGATATTATTGACTTGTTCCGATATTGTACCATACAGCTTAATACATACATTCATCACGATGAACTGCATAAATGGTTTATTTTCAAACAAAACCAGGAAACTATCAACAATATTAAACAGCTGTTACCTTTAATAGTGGTATTAATGGAGAAAAAATATCATTCAGATATCTCAAGCACATAATGCATACATCACAAATTTTGGATTTCTTCTGATCAGAAGATATTAATAGAGGTTAGTGTACAATACAAATATACTATATGTAAATGATTATGATAAGTACAGATCACGTTTTCTTCTCATACTAGTATTTTCTTCTTATTATTATTATGTAGGGAATACTATGCACCGCGTCTCAGGTGGTCTGTAATGCTAATCTCAGTTGCCTTACATTTTTAAATTGCTTCAATAAAACTTGAAAATTCCGAACAATAAAGCGTATTATATAAGTAGTAAAAAAAATGTTTACAGAAAAAAGCAATAAAAATCCCAATTGTAAATCTTATATATCTTCATAGACACGTCAAAAATTCCTTAAGTTATGTGTACATATGAATGCGATGTGTAAGTTTTTATACAATAGCGCTATGCACACTTTAACAATTACGCGAGTATACCTAACAATACCTTTGTGACCTAAAACTAAGTTAGTTGAACATTTTTGAACCGAAAATTAATTCACAGAGTACATACATATATTTATTACTACGCAATATTCTAATCTGTATCAATCTGGGTATACCTTTGTGTACTATTACGAGTTAGCGATGTACGCCATGTGCTAAGTTTCAGTGGAATAAATTGAGTAATAAAAATAATTCGCTATTTTCAGGTGTTAACATAATCTATAATTATAAAGCAATATTTTATTTACATACATGGTTCAAACTGGACATAATTTTCGATTTGGAACAATATGCCGACGGAGCAACGAACAAACAACCCAACCTATAACGTTAATTAGTTGTATAGTTTAGGAGATATCATTAGATCCATGGTATAATTCTACACAACAAACTTTTCGAAAATCATTTCGAAAAATATATATTTTTGAATAGTTCCAATCAATTGATTGCATTTAACAGTTCAGATTGTCTCAGGAAATTTTTTTAGCATAATGTGACTTTTATTCGCCAATTATGTTTTCGTTTTTCACGTTTTGTATAAAAATGTTATTTTCCTCATTTGTGTACTTTTAGTACTATTATGTAGCACTTTAACTTCTACTTATATTGTTAAGTATATTATATGAACTACATTGACGTAAGAACAGCCTTAAATTAGATTAGATTAGATTAAATTGGTTTGGATTAGATTAGATTGGATTAGATTAGATTAGTTAAGATTAAATTAAAGATTAAATTAAAGATTAGATTAGATAAGGTATTATTAGCTTTTTAAAGGGTTAGGGCCTATGATAAAAATACAAAAATTTATTAATTTGTAAATTTGTAAATTTTATTTTTGCTTTATTTATATTTGGTTTATTTTGGTTTAGAAATATAAATTCATCAAAGCCAAGCTAAATTACGAGTACACAGAGTTAAAGGAACTCTGAAAAAACAAAATTAATAAAAGAGAAAATTTAGAAGGGTTCGAATAGAAATGAAAAGACAGTAACAAAAAGTTTAGTTAATTAATTCAAATTTGGCTGTCCATACAACGCTGTTTCGAGTATTCCCAAGCACTTCTTATCACTGTAGAAAAGTTTATTCACAAGACAAGCACTAGAGCTTAAACGAACGCGGTTCTTGGTGTAACTGATTAGGACGTTGCTGTAATTGTAATTGCTCAATGGATGAATTCATTGAAATACAATCCCATTGATAAATAAAATGATTGTTTATGCAAACAGATAAATCAAAACAATTAGATTGTATTAAAGCTGTATATATCTAGTTCTTTATTAATCGATAGCGTTTTAAGTAAGTAGTCAAATACAAATTAAAAGCTGAATTCATTGTTGAACAAAAAAGGTTCGCAGGCAAAGACTTGTATCAAACACCTTAACATTTATAGCAGCAAAAGACAAATTTTTACTAATCGCACCAATTTATTGGGTCGTACGAAAAACAGTTCGTTTTTTTCCAAACCATGGACTTGAATGTTTTTTTTTAAATACAATTTCACACTTAAGCCGCGATGTCATTGTATATTTTAACTGCCGATACAGCAGGGCTAGTTAAAGTAGTTAAAGGAAAAGTTTTTTTTGAGTTTGTGCAGTAGTTTTTTTCGTTTGCTTTAGTAAATGCGGAAAGTCGAAAGCAGCATTTTCGACATATCTTATTTTTTTTTACTATCGAAAAGGTAAAGATACAGTTTAAGCAAGAAAATAACATTCAATGTTTATGGGAAAGATATAGTCATATTGAATGAACGCCTGTCCTTAAACTGGTTTGCAAAATTTCGTTCCGGCAATTTTGATGATAAAGATTCATTACATTCTGGAAGGACAGTTGAAATTGATAAAGGGAAAATGAAAGAATTGATTGATGCAAACCGCCGATTAACAGCTCATGAGACTTGTGAGAGATTAAATTTGACGAATTCGTTCGTGCATGTTCATGTGAAACTTCTCAGTTTATTTTAAAAATCAGCCACAAGAATTTTTACAAGTTCTTACAGAGAAATATTAACTTTGTCGTATTTATGTTCGTAAATCATATCTCAAAAGTCAAAAATTGACAAATGGATTGTGTTAAACAACCTTATATGCAAAAAGTTCACAAAGTGAAATAAATAAATTTGCTTAATACATTTCAAAAATCGTTATTTTTTAAAAAATGTAATGTTTCTTGTTTAATTAGTGTTTAATTAAAAATGTTTTTAATGTAAAAATGGGTTAGTTTATCATGTATGTAAAAGTGTGTATATTCACTATACTATATGTACGGGGATCACTATTTACATTTTGAGCCTAATATTGAAAAATTACTAACTTATCGATGCTCAATTGCTTAAATGATGTGGGATAAGATCCAACGAGAACAAACCTTTCTCACGGCGAACTGATTGTACAATATTTTATATAAGCTGGTGGAAATAATGTCTAGGGTTCTCTTAATCTAAATCTCTTCTCTCGTATCAGTTTTTTAACAGCATCATTATTTTCTGGCACTGCAAGTGAACAACTAAATTTGGACGACCTTCACGGTTTTCGAATTTCGTCAGTGAGCGAAGTAGCGTTTCACACTTGCAAAGGATGGAGTTTCATCGCCAAA